GGCCGAGGGACTTCAGCTCCCAGAAGCCTCAGCTATGTTGGCCAATAGTCCCATGTTGGCCAATAGCTCCTGGGATTCTGGGAGCTGAAGTCCCTCGGCCCTTAAAGGGGAAAGGTTGCCTACCCCTGTGTTAGTTCTTGGTCTCAAAGACATCTTATGTTAAATGACTGACTACCTTCTACCATTTATTACCTCTTGGCCCACCAGGGTCCCCAAGGCAATGCACAATGAGTTCATGCCTTGAACTGAGAGTTGATTACAGTTATGTTCACAGCTCACTACTCAACACCAGCTCCCTAGTTCAGTGGACACTGCCCCATAAATTAAGCCCAACCACATCCATGAATTCCCATGCAAAACCAAACTCACAGAGAGCAGGGATCTTCTTTCGTAAGGTCAGACAGGAAGACATTGGCAAAGTGGATGAACAGTGCTCCTATGGCTTGCTTTGAAGTATCATAAAACCTTGAAAGAGTTTGAAATGAGTAATTCAGCAGAATCCACCAAAAGCTGGATCAAATAATAACAGGTAAAGCTTGTGGAAACATTACTGGTTTGGACTTCCACCTTTCTCAAGGCTTATTTCCCACAGTGGAAACTGAGGACATGCCTCAAGATGCTGAAAAGATGGTTGGTTTTATTAGTTTAAAAAAAAAAAAAGCTTGAAGCATTTAGGCCTGAATGTAGTCTTCAACAGAGGCAATGTGAAATCATCAGCTCAGCAAATAAATAGATAATATCACCCTTTCTGACCCCAGGAATCTGGGATTTTAGCCAAAGAATCTCATTAGCTGATTCTCTTTCTCAAAGTCCTAATTCTGGCATAATGACTCCTTTATTACAGATTGATTTCCATTCCTTTCTTTTATTAATAAAAGTTAATGATTACAGAAGTGGCAATGTGCATGAAGTGCTTTGTTGTTGTGCTTTCAAGTCATCTCTGACTTATGGCAACCCTAAGGGCCTTATCAAACGCTGGCCAGGAAGCGAAAAGAAAGTGAAGA